AACCCCAGCCCCTGGGGTCGGGTTTGCTGCCTGGCTTTCCAATGGCGATCACCAGCTGGGGGGTGGGGAAAGGCGGCCTTTGCCCACCCCCTAGCTCTTGCCTGCTGCCTGGGTTGCCAATCACCATTCTTCAGTCCTTCCCCTTTCGCCTCCCATCATTGGGCGTATGCAAATTAGCCGCCATCTTTGTTGGCGGTTAACCGCCATCTTAGTTGGCAGTTGATTTGCATAAGGATATGCTGATTAGCCAATGGGAAGGGTAGCGGTCATATGCTAATTACCATGTTTCTTTTATTAGTGTAGATATATCTTTCAGACAATATAAGCTTTTTAAAAATATAACATTTCTTAAGTTGGATAGTGATAGAAATTTTGTCTCATATGAACATCATTTTCTCTTCTAGTTCCATCACCAGGACAGCTTCAACACAGAATCCACAGTGTGGGACATTTCCCTGTGTCTGTCCGACAGCCTCTTAAAGCCACAGCCTATGTGAGCCCAACTGTTCAAGGCAGCAGTAACACGCCTTTATCCAACGGCTTACAATTATATTCCAACACTGGAATCCCCACACCAAACAAAGCTACCACTTCTGGGATCATGGGCCGCAGTGCACTTCCAAGACCTTCACTGGCAATAAATGGGAGTAACCTGCCTCGAAGCAAAATTGCACAACCTGTCAGAAGGTAAGAGTCTTCGTCCCTAATGTCAAGCAGTGTGTCTACATGACTTCATTTGCAGTTTTAAACTAGAAGCTGCTCCTGGCACCATCTTGCCTTTTTCTTGGTCTCAGTCTAACCCTAATAGTAGGCCATGCTACCCTTTTTGGCCTGACTTGTGTCCCTCTTCCTCTGGAAAGTGATGGGTGTGGGTGTCCCTGTGTGGTCAAGTCTTCCTCTCTCTGATCTCATCTTCTTCCTTCCTCCCTCAACACTTCACCCTGATGCCCTGTTTGCTTTAATTTACCAGGAAAGCTCCACCTCCAGAACTCTTGCATTTTCCTTCCTTGAAGTTATTTGCAGGGACTCCTCCCTCTCTCTCCCTTCTTCTCCTACTCCATTTATTAGTTTATAATGTGGTCTGACTCTCCTCACTAGAATGCAGGCTTCCTGAAGGGGGGTAGCTGATCTTTGCTTCATTGCTATATGTCCCTAATGTCAAGCGGTTTGTCCAGCACAGAGTAGGATTGCAAATGTTTTATGAATCAAATTTTCTATCAAAATGAGCCCAACTGTGTTAGGCACACATGCATGTGCACACATATACCTTCCCATCACATGCATGGTTAAAAAAATCTTAGTGATAATTAGTGGGTTTTGTTAGCTTGTGTAAGTTCATTGTGGTCCAGGTAACAGTCATCCCCACTCCACAATTCTAGATTACTTGCAGGACACATTTTAGATGAGCTCATAGTCATGAGGTACCCTTCTTGAACTTAGATATCCTGGAGTGTTTTATGGTTAAAAAAATTCTGTAAAAGTGGGTTGAGGAGAGCTTGGAAGATGAAACAATGGAGGCAGTAAATGTAAACAACTTTATAAGAAAAGAATATATGAAGGAGGAGAGGGAGGGAATCAGTAAACGTTTGAAAGGGATGTGGAAACAAGTAACTTTTCTTTATGCACTGGTATGTGTAAATAGTTTTGCTTTATTATTTTCTGATTAGAAGTAATAGGTGCTCAGATCAGAAACAAATTCAGAAACTATTGAAAAACACAGAAAATAAAGGCTGATTTAGAATCTTACTACCCAGATAGAAATAACGTATATTTGTTAAATAAATTTTCCCCCAGTAAATGCAGAGCTATGTTGTGATTATGGCTGAATAGAACATACATAGGTTATTTGACACATACTGTATAGGTAAATAGGACCATCTATTTGTCTCCAACCTAGCCTCCTGGAAAGGTTGTCACTACCAGATTATTTGTGAGGGTCTGTTTTCCCAAACTGGAAAACATTGGGAATTAATTATTTGCCAATCTGATAGGCAAATGTTTGATTACCCATGAGGTTTAAAATTTCTTCATGTTATGCTCTGGCCAGTGTGGCTCAGTTGGTTGAGTGTCATCCCATGCACCAAAAGGTCTTGGTTCTATTCCCAGGTTGTGGGTCCCTGATTGGGGTGCATATGGGAGGTACCCCATCGATGTTTCTTTTACCCTCTCCCTCTCTCTATAAAAAGTCAATAAAAGCATGCTTTTAAAAATTTATGTTAATTTGCTGTTTATAGTCAATGAAATAACTGTTTGTTTTGGGGCCATTTTTTTCTATTGAGTTTACCTTTTTCTTTCTGATTAAAGTGTGTTTTATACATTAGGGTATTGATCATTTTTCTCTCATGCCCACGCAGAGTACATAGCACTGTGGTGAGCATTAGGTTTCTAACAGATGCGCATGTTGCAAAGCTCCAGAGTGTTGAACACAAGACTCACTTGGGGAAGTGCCAACAGGTTGTCAGGACTGGAGGAGCCGATGAAAGGAAGCAACGTGACCTGTAGGGTTATTTTATATATATATATTTATTGATTTCAGAGAGGAAGGGAGGGGGAGAGATAGAAACATCAATGATGAGAATCATTGATTGGCTGCCTCCTGCACGCCCCCTAGTGGGGATGAGCCCGCAACCTGAGCACGTGCCCTTGACCAGGAATTGAACCTGGGACCCTTCAATTTACAGGTTGACGCTCTATCCAGTGAGCCAAACCGGTTAGGGTGACCCGTAGGGTTATTAACACTCTGTTTCCTTTTTCTCACCTTTATAGTTTCCTTCAGCCTCCAAAGCCTCTGTCTTCACTCAGCACTCTGAGGGACGGAAACTGGAGAGATGGTTGCTACTGACGCAGTTTTACGTACCCTTGAAGAATGGGAAAGAAGTGGAAATGAGGGTTGTATTACCTAGCTGGCTGGGTAAAAGTGGATGTCAGGATATTCTTTCCCTTTTGCATTTTAACATACTTACGGCATTGTTTTTCAATGAACCAATCACCAGAGACTAATTATTGCACTTAAATATTTGCCTGAGATACTGCAGCATTCTCAAATCCATGGTTGCAGTATTGCGACACTTAGATCTAGAAAGTTTTTGTAGAACTGCTACGTACCTGAACACTTTTTGAGAGAATTGAGATGTATCATTAATGCTTTCTTTGCCATATGAGTTTTTAAAGTAACTTGTTCAATTTACTTACGTGTTCTAAACATCTTCCCAGTACATGTTCTGTGTTTTAATACATTACATATTTACAAATATGTTCGATCAATGTATGCTTTGAAATTTACTTTTTTATAGTTTACAGGAATTTTATTTTTTTGTGCCTATTTCTTTTTACACCTACGTGAACCACTATGGAACAACTTAAATTTTGTGCCATAAAAATATTTTTGTGGTAAGGGACTATTTTTTTAACTCTGAGGATATATCAGCAAAAATCCACCAAACAGTTTCAGAGACATAATTTTGTGTTGAATGAGCACTGTGTAATCTGAAGCATTGCAAGGAGGTAGCCAGACAGCAAGTTAAATGGTCTCGTCTTTTTCATTGTTAATTTATTGTCACACATGGGTTTCATATTTATAAAGGCATCACAAGCTCATTGCACTTAATACCGGCAATGTTTGCTAATATACCACCACCGATTTTCAATACTTTATTACAGAGGATGAAACTGTAATGTTTTATTAACAATGCTTCTGGAAATGAATGCATTTTAAAGCAAATAAATCTTTTTGATAGACCTTTTACAAAACCCATTTGCACTAATGAATGCTTTTCTTATGGTATATGACTTAATATTTGTTACTGTGTACACTGCTGTTTTGGAATGTTCAGAAATAAAGACTATTTCAGCAATATCAGGTCATGTATGAATGTGCAGCATAAATGTATGCATACCATACATATATCTCATCACAGTCGTGAATGTGGTCATTATTGCTACGTTCTCATGCAGGGCATTTATAGCTAAAGCAAGTAGAATATCCACATTTGTAACAATTATTTCCTTCTCTAAAATACTTGTAAGGTTTAGTTTTAGTCCTATTTAGAAGGGCTACTAGAAAACTCAAGTAGCCTGTTGCCCAGAAACACATTTATGGATGAACATGACCAGGGGTGATTTTAATACTTTGTGGGGATTGAACTTGAAATACTTTCTCAGTATCAGCAAAATATTATCGTTATTCCACATTATATTTGATAGTTGTTGGAAGACTTTTCATCTGAAGGTACAGTTATGGAAAGGTGATGCAAAGGTTTTAATGTATAAATATAGAGTTCTGCTTGAAGTCCTTGGAAATTTTTATTTTTTTAAAAAAATGTGCCTTTAGATAGAATTCTATCCAAAATTAAAAGACTGGCTTTAAAGTAGCTTGTACTGTAAGTGAAGTGTGAGCTAGAGTGAGGAGAGGTATCAAGGGGGAAGTGGTATGCAATAAGCACTTCTGTAGTGACAAGACTGTGCTAGATATTTTGTATACATTTGTCTAATTCTAATAATCATCAATGTTGTCACAAGTTTAAAAGTATAGGCACTGAGCCCTAGAAATGTGACATTAACCTTGTGTACATATCAGCCAGGAAATGGTGAAGCTGGCTTCTGAACCCAGGTGTTCCCAGTCTCAAAAGTCTGTTTTTCCCACGATGCTCTCTTCCTATGAACACGTGTAGTTAAGTTAGTACATTTTTCAAAATGAGTTTATATTCTGCTGAGGAAGTTAAAGGATCCAATTCATTTTCAATTCGCATGTTTCATTTATATTAAAAAAAGTCTGTTCAGCCCTTGGAATCAAAAACAAAAATCCCTGCATTTTAGACTTTACAGTCTAATTAGGGGGAGAGACAGTAAACCATAAACAAGTAAGTGAATCACAGTATGTTAGGGCCTAAGTGCTATGGGAGAGAAAGAGAAAAGAAGATCAAAGTAAGAGGAGTTGAGAATCTGGAGATGGGGAGAGATCACACTAATAAGTGGAGTCCTCGGGGCAGCTCTCATTAAGGAGTTGACACCTGAACAAAGACTTGGAGCCAAAGAGACAGACTGAGTCCTGAAGCTTTCATGGCCTCTTTTACCTATTGTCACAATTCTCCCTAGGTTCGTACTTAACAATTATTCTAGGTGCATAGGAGAGAATTTAAAACGTTGCATACAACGGATGTCTTAGGGTAGTGGTTCTCAAAGTGTGATCCCCACATCAGCATCAGCCTCTCCTGGGAATTTACTAGAGATGCAGGTTCGCAAGCCCTCCCCAGATCTACTAAATCAGCCCTCTAGGTGAAATTTGGAGCAATACAGGTCTACCTCTAGAAACAAGAAAAATATCAAGTAAATAATCTAATACTTAGGGGAACTATAAAAAGAACAAAGACGGTCCAAAGTGAGTAGAAGGAAGGAAATAATAAAGATCAGAACAAATAAATGAAATAGAGTCTAAAAAAAAAAAAATTCCAACCCAACAAGAATAGAAGAGATCAATGGAACCAAGAGCTGGTTCTTTGATAAGATAACCAAAATTGATAAAACTTTATCCAGATTTGTCAAGAAAAAAAAGAGGGCCCAAATAAAATCAGAAATGAAATAGAAATGATAGCAGATGTTAAGTGAAATAAGCCAGTCAGAGAAAGATAAGTATCACATGATCTCACTTATACATGGAATATAATGAATAGACTGATCAGCAAAACAGATCCAGAGACATGGAACAGACTGATGAATCTGAGAGGGAAGGGGAGCAGTGAGGGATGACAGGAAGAGATTAACCAAAGAACTTATATGCATAACCCATGGACACAGACAACAGGGCCTGGGGGTGGGGGTGAATATGGGGTGGAGGGGTTCACTGGAGAAAAGGGACATCTGAAATACGTTCAACAATAAATTTTAAGGAATGGCAGCAGAAACCACAGAAATACAAAGGATTATAAGAATATACTATGGACAATTATATGCCAACAAATTGGACAACCCCCCAAAATGATAAATTCCTAGAAACATATAATCTTCCAAGGCTGAATGAGGAAGAAACAAAAAATAGCATTGGAAGTCCTAACCACAGTAATTAGACAAAAATAAATAAAAGGCATTCAAATTGGAAAGAAGTAAAACTCAATATTTGCAGATCACATGACATCATATAGAGAGAACTCTAAAGAATCCTCTAAAAAACTAGAACTAAAAAATGAATTCAGTAAAGTATCAGGATTAATATTCAGAAATTGATTACATTGATATCCTAAAAACAAACCACAGAGAGATAGATTTTTCTGACATTAAGTAGCTGTATCAGATTTCTTTTAGTATTTATGATACATGTTTTAAAGTCACACCTTTATCATTTTGATGTTCAACAGTTTATAGTTCAATTTTTTTAACCTTGTATGAGAAATTTTGCCCTTCAACTTGAGCAGGACAAGCCATCTATCTATATAAAAGGCTAATATGCTAAGTGTCCTTCCCACCTTCTGACTGGTTGCTATGATGCTCACTGACCACCAGGGGGCAGATGCTCAATGCAGGAGCTGCCATGACATGCACAGAGAAACGGCACTGCAGACCTGGAGCCCAGAAAGCAACACTTGGCTTCCCCCAAGTGGGATACAGGCCCCACCACCACCCCAGAGTAACAGCCCACCAAATCACAGCCAACGCTGCCGAGACCCCATGGCGCAAAATGCAGCCCATAGCCCAGCCCAGAAACGGCCCCTTTGGGGGTCGGGTAATGATGTCATGTAGCAATGGCCTGCTTCCTCTCCCTAGCAACTAGCCTCCTTGGAGTTCCAGGAATACAGGTGTAAACATTTTACACTTTAACCAAATGTCTGTGAAGCGTTTTTCTATGCCTCATCTCATTTGATCCTCACAGAAGTCCTGGAGTAGGTAGATAGGAGAATCCTATTTTCTTTTCATTAGCCAGAAAAGGGAGATTTAGGAAGCTTAGAAATTTGACCCGACTGAAAAGAAGTAAGAAATGGTGGAACTTGAAAATGACTTCAGATTTTCTCCCGGCGCAAAATATAGTCAAACACTGTGGCAGTTAAATATTTTACCCTTTGTCCTCCCTGCGTGATCTCTAATAATAACCTGCATTGAGTTGATATTTACTGCTGTGTTGCTGACAATTACCTGAAAGAGAAGTTGGGGTGCTTCACTGGGCTGGAAAAAGTTTAGCTAAGTCAGAAAGCAGTTCTAATTAAGCAAGTTTATTCTACGTATATAAAAGGCCAAGTTGACTCGCGCATGTGTGATACATATAAAGCTCTCACTGGCGCCAAACGCATGCATGTGTTTCTGTCATTGTCGATCGTGAATTTGGTTGACACTTCTATTATAGAGAAAGGACGAATAGTGATTTTAAAATATTTCTTCTAATTAATTTCTTTTCAAATGTGTACGAATTCATGCACTGGGCCACTAGTATATTTATATGAAACAAAGCTAATGATTAGTGTATACAATAAAGAAAAAAACAGTTCATATCAAATATAATTTTGGTAATATATAAAAACATGTGAAATGTCAGCTAAAACCATAATATGTTGGGGGGGATTAAAATTGTAGAGCTTTAGTAATTATTCAAACCTAAGTTGTTATCAACTTACAATAGACTATTATAAATATGTTATTATATATAAGCATCATGGTAACCACACACACACACACAGAATCATCAAATCACAAAGAGAACAAGAAGAAGAAAAAAAAAGTACAAAAGAGCCAGAAAACAATGAATAAAATGACAATACGTACACAGCTACCAAGAATTACTTTATATGTAAATTAACTAAATGCTCCAATCAAAAGACAGAGTAAGTTGGTTAAAAACAACAATACCCGCCCTGGCCGGTTTGGCTCAGTGGATAGAGCGTCGGCCTGGGGACTGAAGAGTCCCAGGTTCGATTCCGGTCAAGGGCATGTACCTTGGTTGCGGGCACATCCCCAGTGGGGAGTGTGCAGGAGGCAGCTGATCGATGCTTCTCTCTCATTGATGTTTCTAACTCTCTATCCCTCTCCCTTCCTCTCTGTAAAAAATCAATAAAATATATTTAAAAAAAAACAATACCCATCGATATGCTGCCTATGAGAGAGACTAACTTCAGATGACACACATATTCAAAGTAAAGGGTTAGAAAAAGATATTCTAGGCAAATGGAAACCAAAAAGAAGCTGGGGTGGCTATACTCATATCAGACACAATAGACTTTAAAACAAAGACTGTAGGTGATGCCAGCCTCATGGTGTCATGAGATATGCCTTTTAAAAAAAAAATCTCCCTTTTTTCTCTCTCCTTGAATTTTTAAATAATCAGACATCCATAATAATTTTTAAAAGTGCCTCTGCACAGCACACCAGAATACCTAAGAGATCCATCCATTTGTGCATCCAAAAAGTGGGTGGATTGGAACTTGGAGGAAGTTACAGAGCTGAGGGAGTTGTGGTCAGCTTATAGCAGTAGTAAGCTCTAACAGAGGAGGCGGAAAGTGAAAGTGGTGAGTGGAAATACACCAGGCTGTGCTAGCTGCAGCTGGGGTGGGGGGAATCCATTCCTTTTCCTGAGGAAGGACCTTCCTGACTAGGGAGAGGGGAAGGAAAGGGAAGAAGGCAGACAAAGAGAACTGAGGACTATGCTTCCTGCCATCTGCCCTGGGATTTCAATAAGAGATCTATCAGCTAACCTCTGGAACTCCTGTCACTTGAGAATTCCTCTACTGGGTTGTGGGCACACCCTAAACTTGAGGTGCTAAGCCCACACCTCCCTCTGCTGCCAGCTTTTTTTTTTTTTTTTAATGCCAACACACACACTCCCAACTTTGTTCTATAGTGCCACCTTCTGGAAAGCAAAATAAAGTTTCTCATTGC